TTAACATTTCAAAGTATAACTATTGTGGTAATCAGTCACGTGATATGTCACGTGACCATTTTGCTAAAAATCGTAAATTATTGACCAATAGGCAACTTTCGATATATTAAAATTCAGCATGACAACTAGTCTCAGAGGACAAAAACAAAGAAAATGAATAAACCATGATTATTCATGTTTATTCATTTTCTTTGTTTGTGTCCTCTAAGACTCGCTATCATGCTGAATTTTAATACATCGAAAGTAGCTTATTGGTGGCCGGTTTCAGAAAAGAAATCGAGCAATTACGTTTTTCTTATTCATATTAAATATTTCTAACACTTCGCGTTTGGAATGACCGTCCATTGCACTTTAAGAAAAAGGTCATGAGGAAAAAACATCATTTTAAATGCCCAAATTTAATGTTGAATTATTTAAAACTTTATTTTAAACTTTTGGTACATTCATTCCAAACTTAGAAAGATAGGTATGTTTATCCACTTTCAGAAATGCAAATTTGTTTGTCCAAACAAAGTAAATTCGCCACCAATTAGCCAATTTTCTTCATTTTTCATTTTTTGTCACGTGACAATAATTACACGTTAAGGCACAAGAAAACGGCAAACTTACTTTTGGGCAAAAACTCATTTTGTTCTAGGCCTCCTAGCGAGATATATTGCTAACTATTGATATGCTCCAAACACACCTTTGTCCCAGGCCTTAAACCCTTTGAGCGGTCGTTATTTATCGCCTGTGGTGGGGTGGGGGGCGGGGGGGAGGGCAGAGGATTTTAGGGGGGGTCACTTGATTTTTGGGAGAACAAAAGGGGGATCAGCCGTAACTGAGAACCCAAAAGGGGGGATCGATGAAAACTTTGGAAGGATTCAGAGGGGGGACTGTTTATAGAGGGGAGATCGCGAAAGTCATCAAATGTTATTATTGGGTAGGATCACTTCAGTGAAGTAACATTCAAATGGGGGATCGGCTAAATTTGGCCTTGTTTAGCCCTAGCCTGCTTAGCATGGCGGTTTTGGTTGGGTGCGCTGAGTAATAAAGGCGGGCGAGGGCAGAGAAACCGCGAGGAGATTGGGGCGGAAGCAACTTGATTTTATTTTTCTCGCGGCTTCGCCGCTCGTTCTCGCGCGCTTCGCGCGCGAATTTCGCGGCTACGCCGCTCCTGCGCCTGGCTCGACAAAACCGCCATGCTACGCAGGCTAGTTTAGCCCCAAATCCACCACCTCCCCCGGCGATAAATAATGACCAGTCCCTAGGAAGATCCCAGCGTTAGGGACAAGTACAAGCCTTTGCATGTAAATCGAATACAGAAAACTATGGCGCTAGAATGATCAGCCTTTTAGGATTTTCCGTGTACTAGGATCTTGCTCGCTCCATGAAAACAGCCCCTCAAACACTAGTAAAATCAAAAGATCAAAACAGGAAAACACTCACGTGCACAACTGATCTTGTCTCAACCTTCACACAATCAATAAAACAAGCACGAACTTAAAGGATAAGACAGGCTTAAAAATAACCCGCCCTTCAAAATACTTCACAACATGTTTCTCGAGTTGAAAACAATATTTTGTAGCACTTTTATGTTATTTACTACGAATTTTTGCATCATCGTATTTATTCGATTAGGTGCCCTGGGTGCTTATGAAATTTTCAGGCCTTGAGAATGAGGGCTTATTCGAGATGGAGCGCGCTTGTTAGAGGCTGGGCATTTATTAAATTTTCATTATTTTCAGCGAGTAGTATGCTCATTTTCCAACAAAAGGGAAGATGTGAAAGAGCACAATTATAACTGTTCATTGAAAGTTTATTTTTTTAAAAAGACTGAGAACTCGGTCTTCAGGGAATTTTCTAAGTATAGTACCTAGTTAAGTTCTATCTAAGTAAGGTGTTGCCTCGTAGATCATGTCTCACAGTAACGTCCGTAAATGGATCAGTCAACGACAAGAAGCAGATAGGATAGTGGATGGAAGCTTATTACAGGCTGGGCGTTTATTGCTGAACTTTTCCTCCATACACGGCGGGCGCTTATTCGAGGTGGGCGCTAATTTGAGGTTGAGCGCTTAATCGAATAAATACGGTATACTTGTTCAATGATGGTTAAGGTGGGACTTCATTCGCAGGTACTTTGTAAATTACGCTCATTATACAGATCGCGTCCACACGTATCCCGGATATTTTTGAAAACGTAGATTTTGTATCGGTTTTTTTGACGAATCTATTTCGATTTTTCTTTCTCGCTGTCTTTTCTCCCTTTTTCTTTCAATTTTCAGCGTTGTTGCCCACTTTATCGTCTTCATTTTTTGCATGGAATTGTGGCTGACTAACCTTTTAGAAAAGGGAGAAACTTAATCTACAACTAGAAGAGTAGTAGGTAAATGGCGAAATTGGCAGTGGATTTTTCACCAAAATGATACTTGGTTTTTTTGTTTTTAGGATTGGTAAGAATTTCCAAAACCATGTTGCTGCTTACAACTTAACAGCTAAAACTGAAAGCAAAATGGGTCCATGGAAGAAAATATGCATCGTTGGCCGTCCTAGTCTTACCATTCTCACACTGACATGCAGTTAATTCCACTAGAGAAAGCTCATTCTTCGCATGAATCAGTTCCCAAGGCGAGGAAGTCACATTTGATAGATACGTCCATGACTCTAAGGAACATAATAGCTACCTAATGGTCTAAACCGCCGTGACGAATTGGAATTATTGAAATCTATATCCTTATTAGTTGTTTTTTATGTTGTACGTCATTTCCGACTCTCCCTTTTAAACAATTTTTTTTTTGCGACATTCTCCACCTATATAATATTGTTATTCCCATCATTTTCAGTAAATTTTGTAAACCCGAAAAAGGCTGATATAGCCAGCCGAAATATTGTTATAAAAAAGCAATTCAGGTTGTTATGATTAGCTTTGATTGCAGTAGTCTTTGGACTTCTCGTTTTTAGTTCTTGACAGTTTAGCTGATTAGATCTCTTTTCCAGAGAACCAACGTTAACAACCAACAGGATCTTTGTCCACGGGTTTTTCAGTTATTTTCTTTATCTAGCCGTCATTGCATTTGGGAAAATTCAGCTCACAAAATTTCAGATATAAGTTCCTTTATCATGTAATGACTGCAGCAGATTCTGAGGGGGACCATCCTCGTCCCCAGGGCTTTTCCCTTTAAAAATGGATGGCCCCACCCATTTTTTAAGGGAACAACCCTGGAGACGAGGCTGGAGGGAGACAACTAGCCTTGTTCCTTAGGGTGTGGCGTCCCCTGAATAAAGGTTCCACGCGGGGGACGTAAGGGTTTGTGGTGATGCGGTTTTGCTCGAGTTTTGGTGCGGTTTTGCGGAAATTTTTATTTTAAGTTGCAGTATTGCGGTTTTACAAAACCAAGCGGCTTGCGGTATTTAGAAATTTTCGGGTAATTTCAACGAGGTTTGCGGTTTTCTTAATGTTATTCTGTGCGGTGTTTATACGTATTTCTGTGCGGTTTTGTGTTATTCACATCCCCCTTACGCCCCCCCTCTTCCACTGTATTTTTCCTTGGGGGAGCCGGAGCTGAGAGAAACCCGAGGGAAACAGGCATTGAGATTCGAGAGAAACAAAATCAACTGGCTTCCAGAGGTATTTCTCATAAGTGATTTTTTTATAATTACCCGCGAAAAACTTGTTCAAATTTATGAAAGCAAATCTCTGTCTTTTAATCTTGGAAATAGACCCGTTCAAGTGTTTTTTTCAGCTTTTAACGTGTACCAGTTAGGGAAAATCTGTCGACACCACTGGAAAGAGAGCCTAAACTTTAGCAAATTTGCCAAGTTTGATAAAGTGTTTGATAAAGCGCCTCAAAGTCGCGAAAATTTACAGACGTTTGTGTGGTGGGGGCAAGTTGTGCCTCCCCAGTAAAAGCGTCTGTAAAATTTCGCGACTTTGAGGAGGTATATCTAGCCTTCGTAGCAGGCTTTTGGAAGTAGTGAGCGCAAGAAACAACGCGCGGACGAGAGAGAGACACGCGTGTCTCCCTCTCGCGCGCCCCTTCTTTCTTGCGCCCACTATACTTCCCATCCTCGGAGACCCAGGGGCAGATAGTTGGGGCGAGGGAAAGTCTAAACGGGCGGAAAAATATATATGGAACGAAGAAATTTCTTCGTGCCACATTTTTCCGCCCGTTTAGACTTTCCCTCGTCCCCACTATCTGCCCCTGGGTCTCCGAGGATGACTACTTCCAAGCGCCTGCTACGTAGGCTAAGCTATATCTTTCTTAGTTTATTTTTAAACAAACCACTTTCAAACTTGGCGGTTTCACTGACTTAAAGGCGCTCTTTCCAGCGGATTTGGTTGTCCATGTCACGGCGTTGATAAAAACCGTCACGGAGGGGTCAGGAGCCTACAAGGGTTGTGGGCTCCTTGAAAGGTCTATTAGCTCAGTCTTCACCAGGAGTCCAAGTGGTGATGGGCTCCTGCTCTGCGCGCAAAAGCGTGCTCGAATTTTAATATGCCTGCACTTTTGCAACATTTTTATAGTGCAGACATTTTAAAATTCGTGCTCGCTTTTGAACATTAAAATAATAAAATATTAAAATGTTGCACGGGTGCACACGGTCTGCTAAATTTAAAAATTCTGATAATTGTCCGGTCAGTTGACTAACTGCTAACTCAGTTCTCTGTGAGATTTTCAAGAAAAGTATTATAAAAAGGCTAGAATATGAAAAAAACATAAGGCATACTGATTTGTAACTAGTAAGTAACCTTGGCTCCGTCATGCTAAATAGTTTGAGAGTTTCTGAGCCTGCGACCTTGAAAAGTCAATATTTAAACTGAAGTTTATCAAGTTTACTCGTAAAAGTTCATTATTATCAGCATGATAGAGTACTCTGTTGTGACTCATCGCAAAGTGTTCTTTAAGCGATTAAACTTATTTCTTTTGTCTTCCTCTCAAACACTACCCGCTAAACAAAGCTGCGGTAATTGAGACCTTTTCAGCCAACAGGTAAATTGCTATGGCAACTCCAAACTCTTTCGTTTGAGACATTTCGGTGGGCATGCGAGACACTGGCGTTGTTTGATCTGTGTGTTGTTGTTTTCAGCCTTTGAGATCTTTTTGTCAATATTAAAATTCATGTCCAGAGTTGACTTTTTGACGGAGGATGTCTTTGGAGAAACGTGGGGAGGAAGAAACGAAGAGCCGAGATGGATTAGTCGACGCCTCTTACAATTCACTGGTGAAAGAAACGGCGGAAGGGTTTTTGGCTGATGGCCTTTGGAAATCGAAACGCGAGGAAGATTTACATCGTGAGATTGAAGCTATGTCTTCAGAAAAAGCTAAATGTTTATTCGACGATGAAAGGGATAGGCGGGCTTGGGTGGCCGCGATTAAGAAGTCTGTTGAAAACAGTATTCAGTCGCAAGTGCGGGCGGTGTTAGGAACTCCACCAGGAGAGAGGAGAAAAAAACTTCATGAGCAAAGACTTGCTGAAGAAAGACGAAAAAGGCAAATAGAGATCGAAAATGCCGATAGACAACGCACGGCAGAAAGTCGTAATTATAGCTATCCTTCTTTTCATGATGACGACGGGGCGCTGTTTCAGAAACGTCAACAGTATTTGCAGAAGTTTGCGATGAGACGTTCGATGCGTAACGACAAGGCTTCGGCGAGCACAACTCTTCGTGACTTCGACATAGACCCCCTATCCAGCGACTTTAACAAAAGGTTTAGCATCTACACTCGAGCTGCTCTAGAAAATGCGGACAGAACGAGCTCGAATATGAGTTTTAATAACCAAGCAAATGTTTATAAACGATCCCCTGGTTGTGTATGGGTAGACAAGAAAGGAGAACGACACGACATCCCTGGCCCATTTTGGCCGAAAGACCACTTGCCGCGTTATTCAAGCCAGAAGCATATTCATTTTATTCCAGACTTTGTCGAGCGATTAAACACCGAGGGTAGGTGATTGTATGTATATATAATCCTAAAACAACTCGTTTTGCATCAGTGGTAGTCAAACACAATCGACTTGTTTGTAAAGGCAATTTTCAGTCGCGTCGGGGCTGTGTTTATGTTCATGGATGGCCCATGTGGTAATTAACGAAATTCACACTCACTTTTCAACTTATTGACAAGTTCTAATGTTTTCATATATCACGAAAGCAGAATTGTAGTCTTTGTCAAAAGCTTCCTCGGGAGAAAACTTCGTTGTTCAAATACACTATTATTATTCTGACATGCAATTAACAAAGTCACGCATATGAAATCGACATTTTCGTCGTCCATAATGCACGAATAGAATTTCACACGTGTTCATAACGGTATTTGGTTATTTTGAATTTGGTTAAGTATAAAACCCCTCACCGTTCATTTTAATATACTTCAATTCGAATTTCATGAAGTTAGCCCTTCTGCTTGTCGATCATAAAGTTTCGAATGCGTTAGTTCGCGCGCGTTTAAGCAGTAACTCTTTACAGTCCGGCATTAATTACTATCCTAGGCGTTACTTGAAATGCCATCAAGTACTCTGAAAATGTTTATGGGGATTTGTCTCTGGCGTGTAATATTTTCCGAGACATCTGTGAAAGATCTATTGTTTTAGGCAAGGCATGTTTGGACAATAAATAAATATGTAAGCAGTTTGAAATCTTATTTGAGGTTGGCAGTGGAAACATTGCCCTTCCATCTCGTGGCACTGAAGACCAGTTATTCAAGGTACAAGTTTATCATTTCTTGAAAATACTACTGATAAAATCTCAGTACCTCGAGTTTTTCATTGTCAAAGGCATTCAAAGTTTTAATTTATGGTGGACCTGTCTTGTCTCCCTTGGTTTCTCCCTTAATTTTCTCTTGGCTGCACCAGTGCATACCCTGCCCAGAAATGGGGAAGAGGGGAGAGGCTACTCCGGGAAAATTCTAGTGGGGGTGGGATGAGGAATGCTTCATGATACCCTGACCCTATGTTAGACCTACAATCCCTGACAGAAGTAGTTGGAAATGTTGTACAACTTAACAGTAGTCTAGTTTAATCCTGAGGGGTACTCCCTTATATAAGCCATATATGTATGCTCCACTCCAAAGGGTAGGGTTTTTGTGCTGTTTTGGTCTGAAAACAGGTACAGACTTTGCCCATTTTGGTCTGGAATTTGGTATGGTTTTCAAGGGGAGTGCATGAGTGTATTCATCGTTTCAATTCCGAATATGCAAATTCGAAATGGAAATATGGTCAGGATTTGGAGAACCAGGCGGCACACGGGAGTGCCCCCTGGGAATTTAATTGTCAAAAAAAGAGAGTTTTCTCTTTTGCTAAATATCTCCCATCACCACCCCCCCAGCCCCTCCCCCGCCCCACTGGCCCCCCCCACAACATCCGCCTAGCAAAATATACACTTTGGACCCTCAAACTTAAATATGACCGTAAATGTGGAGTTAATAAATATCAAAAGTAGGAAGATGCAATTACCCCCCCCCCCCCCCCCCCCCCCCCCCATGTTCAATGATGGGATATAACAGAACAGTTATGTGCACAAACATTTACGTTTTGCTCAACATTTGGCCAGGTGCAAGGGAAAGAAGGAAAAAAAGGTAGAAAGTAGCAGCCTTCCCAACACTAATTTTGACGATGATTGTAGCCTTCCACGTTGGGCAAGCAATCCCCCCAACGGAATGCGTGATGAAGATCTAAGAACATCAGGGTGGGAGGTTTTTTCAGACCAGAATTGATTATGAGATTTTCCTGACTCTATTTTAGGACTGAAACTGCTGATCTCAAGAGTTGCATGATAAAAAAATAATAAAACATAGCCAATTCCAGACCCGGGTTCCAGTAAGAACAAGCTAGCTCTATCCTATTTCAGATCCAAATGGTGAAAATCTATACCCAAGTTCAGACCTTCACCCCCTCCCTCCCCCTCCAATACTCAGTGAGCAAACACCTTCATTTGTTAAAGGCTTCTCCTGTCATGTTACTCAGTGGTTTCTAATTGTACCATTTATATCTAGGTGAAAATTGCAACACTTCAAGTAGTTCAGTGGCAAATGGAAGTCTTCTATACCCTCATGAATGGCGAGGAAACTTAACAGTTTATGAAAGGCACAATAAGGGAGAGGTATGTTACTTTTTCACTCACAAAGTTCTTCAGCTCTTGACACTGGATCCACCCACCTCACTGATAACAGAACATGTTCCTTGGTTAGTAACTGGAAATTAAATTTTTTTGTAGGCATTTCAATAATTTTCATATTTTAAACTTGGTAATAGAAATGAGAAACAATGTTTATTCTGGCAGTTGCATGGAATAAAGGAAAAATCTTATGGCTTTGACCCATAATAACCATGTGTCAATATTGCTCAAGTACTTAAGCCCCTGAGGGTCAGAGACACTGAAATAGCAAACTAGAGCCCTTGACTGGCTCAAGCACCCTGGACAACCCTTACACCCCTCTTCTCTGCCCTTCATTCTTCTCTTGATGAACATACAGAACAAAATAAATTGATTTGAAGAGTAGGACTGTCTGCTGTTCCAAAAAGTGGCTCTTTTCCACCATAATCTGTATTGAACTGGAATTTGGAATTTTTTTATTCAAGGAGAGAAAAATCTCGAGGAGCAAGGATGAGAACAAACATTAAACCTACACATGGTTCCCTATGAGATTCGAACCCCCCCCCCTCCCACCTTGGTCATGGTGGGAGGTGATCGAGTGCTATATGCACCATGACTCCACCCTTCGTCTCCTCATCTCTTTTCAGCCTGACAAATATTCTTATAACTGAACCTTGAAACCCATGGCTGTATACTGCTCAAACCAAACTTATTAATAAGGCCAATAACAGTTTTGTTTATTGAACAGGCAAACCACAGTCATGTAGTCCCTTCTGGTTGCCCTCCAAGTCTCACATTTGAATCAAGGTTTGAGTGTGGAAACCTAAAGCAAGCAAAAAGAATGTAAGTATTACTGTGAGTAGCCTGGGGCAAACTCGTAAGAGTGGGTGGAGGGGTGTGGAGAAAAAACTTTCTGTCTCAGTCACCCCCACCCCATAAAGTTTGCTTGCATGGCGAGGCTTTACTGGAAGATATGCTGCGACGTTCTGAAGCTCAAAACTCAACTGATGGTCTATCTTTGATAGCCCAGACCAACGTTTCAGTTCTAGTACCTTAAAGCTTCTTCTTCTTTACCAATGATAATTATGATAACATAGTTAATTATGATAACATAATTATGATAACATAGCATTCAGAACTTAAAAGCAGTGGCAGATATTTACGGCCGTATGTGTGTATGTTTTTTTAAGAAACTCTGGTACTGTGGTAGGGTAGGGTGTGAGGAGAAGTGAAATTCTAGTAGGAAAATAGGCGGAATGAAAAAGGAAAAAAAAAACAATATTTTTTTTCTTTCTAGAATAAGGTTTTATTACCGATTATTTTGTAATTTTTAAAAGGTTCATGATTTATAACAGTTTTTTGTTTTAATTCTTTTACAGTGGCAGTTATGAATATGATCTAGTCCTTAGTTGCGATTTGTACACAAAACGACATATGCAGTGGTAAGAATCTTTGCTCTTTTAGTTTATGTACGAATTTAAGAAGTGGATTGCCTACGCAACAAATAATGTAAAAAAAGAGAACCGTTGATCATAGACGCGGATTACTCTGTTCGAATCGTAACTTGAGAAATGTTTTTGAAATTCAGTTGTGACACCAATTTTTAATACCAACATTTAATGAAACAGTTTGTATAATCTCTCTTCACAGTAAAATTATTACATGTGTGTAAAACGTTCTTAATGGCGTAACTAACTTAGGCTATGATAATATTGTTCTAAAAAAATTGGTAGCGGGTCCGTTTGTTTTCATAGAAAAAAAAGGGATGTTATTCCTTTTATGTAAAGCGACACTTCAGCGGATCTTATCCCTTCTCAGTTCTTTTTTCCCTGAAAATTGGGTCGGTCGGTCGGACGTACCGCTTGATAGAAAATGGCCTGACGCACAGATAATGTCGAAAAGAGAAAACCATCACCTTCTGAATGGTCAAACCCGGGTGCCAAAGGTTTTTTTCTATCCTAATTCCTAATAGTTTGCGGCGAAGGTGCCACAGCGAGGCGCAAAGCGCCGAGAGAGAAACAAAACTCCGTACGTCCGTGTCGGGAGCTTTATCAAACCGTACGCACATGTTATTTCATCCTAGATATTTTGTGAACGGACTTCCGGAGCCAGGGTAGAATGTTAATTGTGCTAGTGAGGAAAAGTTCAAACGAATAAAGATATGAAAAGAAGAAGGAGAAAGTGGAGAGGATAAGATGGTTTTGGTGATTCTAGGAAAGATAAAATGGATGACGCATATTTCTACTTCAAAAGGAGAACTCTTCTGTTGCCTTTTTTAACTTTTTTTATGTAAGGGAGGGAATATCCAGTCTGCTTTATGCATTGAACTTTTAGAAATCTCAACCGGAAATTTTCTTGTCTCATTTACCATAGGTATTACTTCCGTGTCCAGAATATGGTCCCTGGGGTAACTTACAAATTCAACATCATCAATCTACTAAAGAAAGATAGTTTATACAATTATGGTAGGTAATAGCTTAGTCTCTGCGACTAAGGCCTGTTTTAAACGTCGTGCTACTGCCGTGCTAAGCTGGCTCGACTGTAGCTCGACTGTAGCACGACACTAGCACGACTGGTTTCAGACGTCGAAATTAATTCAGTCGAATAGAACGGCTGTTGCCGAAAACAAAACACAAAAATAAAGAAACGGTTTAGGAAACTTTTAAATGTATTCTAATGTATTTATAATTTATGAATTGAGTTCGGCACGGCAGTAGCGCGACATTTGAAACCAAGTCGAGCTACTGCCGTGTAGCACGGCAAGTTTTGCCGTGTTACACGGCAGTAGCATGACTTGGTTTCAAACGTCGCGCTACTGCCGTGCTAAAGTCGAATTTAATTCGATCAATTTAGTTCGGCACGGCAGTAGCACGACGTTTGAAACAGGCCTAAGAGGTAAAGCCAGTGACTTGTTGGGAGGAAGATAGCCGTAATACCCTCTCGATGGTTAAATGAGTTTGCACCAGTTGTTTTAATCACAAACTTTATTAAAGAGGAAGTTGTTTCGCTAACCCAAGGCTGTAGAGTTCAGTTTACCTGAAGAATTGAATACGCTGTACAACAGTACAAACACTTCACTTTTCGGATACTTACGCTTCATCGCGCGCATGCGTTTTGCGTGACATATTCTCTAGATTTGTCGTTACTCCCACATGCATTGTTTTCAATTTCTCTCGGTACTTACCATTGTCCAAGAAGAAATTGAAAACAATGCTTGCATGCTGAGTTGGGGAGTAAACGAAGTGTATGATGGGACGATGTTAAGTTGGCGGAAAGTCTTTTCTTCTAAAACGTCTAGCTGTAGTCTCATGTTTACGCACTGAGTCCTAATTTTTCGTGGGTTTAAAAGTATAGTCTTTCACTTAAAAATTGTCGTGTTTCTCGTTCTAGGTATGAAGCCCCTTTTGTACTCCGAGCGTAAAGCTACAGCGCGGGGTCTGGGCTGGAAAAGGGCTGGTTCGCACATCAGTTATTGCAAGACCACGTTATACAAAAATCCTCTGCTGCAACGCGAATATGTTTACTACACTCTCACTTTTCACATGGTGAGTAACTAATGGTAAAGCGCGAAGATTTCATTGGCTAAAAGCTTTATTCGTAGTGTTGCCTATCAAGGCGATGTAAATGAAATCTATTGGGCAGTAGTATGTTCATTTGGCATTGAAGGCTAAGAAATTTTTCGGCCACTTTATATATCTATTTAAAAAAGAGGAAAATGTTGATTCGCTTCTTTCACATTGCCCATAATACATCTTATTTACCTCTCAAAATTTTGCTTTAGTATTGTTTTCGCTTTCTTCTTGGAACGACTGTAGTACTGAGGAAAAATTGAAAGCAATACTTGTGCAAAATTGGGGCGGGTGGGGGGGGGGGGGGGGGCAGGGTTTTTTATCCGTGGTAACGGGAAGTTTGGGGTTTTGTTGGGGGGAAAGGCCCGGGGGGGGGGGCCCGGGGGTGGGGGGTAGGGTTTCTCTTTTTCTGGGGGTGGGCATGTGGCGGCCTGTTTCTTTCTTCTCCATTTTACCCCTTCTTCATTTAAAAATAAATGTTTTTTCTTCTCTTCTTCACTCACACAAAACTTTTTTTTTTTTCTCTCTAAATTTTTTTTTTTTTTTTTTTTTTCTTTTTTTTGTGGGAACCTGGGTTGGGGGGAAAAAAAAAAAAAAAAATTTTTTGGGAAAATGGGGGGGGGGGGGGGGGGGGGGGGGGTGGCAGGTGTATTATCTCGTGGTAACGAGAAAGTCGCGGATTCGTTCGGGAGAAGAGCTCGAGAGGCGAGGCCAGGCGCTGGAGGGTATGCTTCTCTCTCTTCGCGGGAGTGAAATTGCGGCCTCCTCTTCTTGTCGTCTCCATTTACCCATTTTTGCTTTTGATCGAATTTCAGGAATTTCCACACGAAAACGATACATGTTACTTAGCTCACTGTTACCCGTATTCCTACACTGACCTTGAGCTGTACTTACGCACAATGGAGGATAATCCGAAGACAGCACAGTATGTGCAGAAGGAGGTACTAGCTAAGTAAAAATTACAAATTGCGGGTAGTTGCTTGGTGTTGGCCGCGGGTACAATCAACAAACAGCAATACCCACACCACAAATCCTTCTGAGCTGCTGGTTCTACTGAAAGGAAAGTGATATAAACTATTTTTCCTTAGGTTTCTGCTTTAAAATCCGCAAAAATCCATTCAACAAATGCGAAGCAAATCACCACAAACTTTATCTTTCCGACAACCCCTGCATGCCACTTTCAACATCCGGGGACTTTTATGTAAAACTATTAATCATGAGCAGTATGCGCAAACTTAACTTCCTATGCGATTTTACACTCTTAACTAAAATGGGAAATAAAAATAATCCTGAACAACGTGGAATCGTTGTTAGGGCAAAAAAACTGTTATTTCGTTTGCAGAAACAACTATTCTCGAGAACTTCGTGGTGCTCCGAGTAGGGTCCAAAGTCCAAATGAGGCCTATAAAGCAGACTTGTTTTGAGTCCCTACTTGTTTGTTGTCTGAAGCGATCAGGGAATAAGGGCCGCGGGAGATGCCAGGAAGGACGAAAGAAGGAAAATGTTGCTTCCCGCATTTGATCCGGACTTTCTTTAATGCAATCCAGTAAATCGCTGATTTCTCTTAACTTCAATTTACTCTAAACAACGTTTACTATATTTGTTATAATAACCGGCTGTGAAATCGCATTTATACTTTTTTTTCATGTCTCATGTAACAGGTGCTTTGTAAAACTATGGCGGGCAACAATTGTCACGTGTTAACTATCACCTCTCCTCAAGGTTAGTGACCACGAAGCTGTACGCAGTACTCTAGAATTATTTTATTCTCACCCTTTCAATTCGCGCCATACTTATTCTTGTATTTTTTTCTCTTGTAGTTCCTGAAAGCGAGAAGCTCGGCGTAGTCGTCAGCGCAAGAGTTCATCCCGGCGAGACTAATGCGAGTTGGATGATGAAAGGCATGTTAGACTTTTTGACCAGCGGTCATCACATTGCAGAGGTAAAGACTGGTTTCCAGGCGTTAATTCACCCGTTTAATTTAGAATAGACCCTTTGTCACGCTGCGGCCATTTTGTCTCGGGAGATTTAAAAAGCTTTGTTTATGCTTGGCTAGCCTCGTAGCCAGGTCAAGTTCCCCTGGGACCTCTATTGGGAAAAAAGAAAAACATGGAAGCTAAAGAGGTCCTTTTAAAGACATGCCCAGAGAGGTGTTCTTGTCGTCTTTTAAAATTATGTTGATGTTTTCTTCTTTTTCGTTTACGTATATATTTACGTATATATTTCTCCTTTTGGCAGAAACTTCGTCGCAAGTTTGTGTTCAAGCTCGTCCCTATGCTGAATCCGGATGGTGTTGTTGTGGGCAACTACAGGACGAACTTGGCGGCCAGAGATTTGAACAGAACTTACAAAGACCCAAAGAAGGTGAGGAGGTTTTTGGAAAAGGCGAATTTAACGTCTTGACTGTAGAAAGCAGAAGTTTTTTGACTGAAAATGATAAATATATGAATTTCATTATATATTTTAACCACGGAATGAAGAAATAAATGAAGAAGATCATCGCAATTAAAGACGCAAGTTATGCATTTACGAAAAGAAAGCCTGAATAACTTCATGCTCGTCGGGATTATATTTACTGTATATTCAAACCCTGATCTCCGTGATATCAGTGCTGCGCTCTAACCAACTGAGCTAGCAAGCCAACTGGGAGCTGAGTTTTTCAGTCTCTTGTTTAATTATGTCCGCGAAGAGTAGAGGCCAGTAAAACGTCCGCTTCTGCAGGAGAGTGCATTGTAAGAGAGGTAGCCTTGCCGCTCGTCATCATTTTCTTCCAGAATCAAGGCTTGCGCAATATTGTGAAGCAGTGAAAGCATATGATAGGGTTTGTCTATAGTTTTTTTCTCACTACAGTCACTTTGAGTCAACACAGCAACCGATCTATACTACTGTAGCCTCCCCTGCAGACATTCTTAGGGGTGCGTCAAGCGTTCCTGCCCCACAAACGTTCGTGCGGTAGGAACGCATGACGCACCCCTAAGAATGTCTGCGGGGGAGGCTAATACTACTGAGGATAAATCACTAGCGCCAGCAATGAGGATCGAAGTCCACTAACCAAGCAGGGTGCTCCGGCTAATGGTCTCACATAGACAATCCACACTATCGCCTGACCAGACTCGTACCCAGTCATTATAAGCCAAGAGAATAGCGCGGAAGTTGTGCAAGGGAAGAAAGAAAAATAGACCAATCCCGATATATTAAAATTCATACTTGGCTGCGAGGCTTGGGAGAATAAAACAAAAGAAATCATCTAGAGGCTCAGCAATGAATAATACATTTCTTTTGTTTTATTCCCCCAAGTCTGACAGCTAAGTATGAATTAAAATGGTCTATTTTCCTTTGCTCCATCCCATGAATCCTCGCAAGCCTCAATGTTACCTCCGTATCTAAGAGTGAAGGCTCAACAATGTTCTTAGGCAAGAAAAATGTTCCTAAAGTTTGGCTTAATCGCGGAATAAGTTCAACCATCTTTTGAGGATCCGGGCTAGATGAAGACAAGCAGAGTAGTTGAACCATCACGACTAATAAAAAATTAGGTGAAAATAACGTTCGAACGTACATTTTCTGTATTTAAAGTTTGTATTTATCTTCTCACTATAGGAAAGTTTCCCCACTGTTTGGTACATGAAGAACATGTTGGAGTCATTCAAGAAGGACCACCAGGTAGGGGTACTTTTGAAAGATTTACGATTAACGTCCATCGGGCGAGGAATGGCACTGAAAAGGTCCCACCACGTGTGGGGCCTTTGGCGTGATCAGATATAACGAGCCTTTACTTGAGTCGAGCAGGGATGTGTTGTAATAAGAACTGAAATGAATTAATGTTATTTAATTCAGGTCATTATTTACTGCGATCTTCACGGACATAGCCGCAAACCAAACGTCTTCATGTATGGTTGCACAGCAGATCCCAAGATGGCATCCATGAGTAACTTTGTAGAAGAACGTCTCTTTCCTTGGATGATGTCACAAAAGGTACTAAAGTAGATTATAACCCTTTTAGTGTCAAGATTGACCAACATCAATTTTCTCTGAACGATATCAATACATAATCAAGAGAAAAAGTTAGGAGAATTTTTAAAATTATCCCCTAAAGGAAAAATGCTTTGATCTTAAATCGAGCTCTTGGAACTAATTCTTTATGGAATTGTATGAAGATCATTCTGGTGAATTTCTTTGTGAATATTGGGGCTTAAATACTTGTACACGTTGCTAGTTCCACGAAGATGCCACAGGTAGACAGCTTGCAGAAGTGGTCACTACATGATGAAGTTCGCGCACAGCACACCCACACACACCACTGATACAGAGCAAGACTGGTAATGTGAAGATATTTTGTAAAAAAAGAAATAATTGTAATTTTTTCCAGAAACCGCCATCGCAATTTATCGAGACTTAGATGTTACGAAGGTAGATTTATCATTTGGACAGTTTTCGTGCGTAAATATTCGTAATTAAGGAAAAGAATCGATCCTTATAGTTTAGTCCGTTGAAATGCAGTGAGTGATCTGAACAATAACTTTACTGAATAAAGCGGTATAGACATCTCTTTGCGAGTGCCATAATCAGGTTACGTTGTATTCCACCTAAACATGGATGTCTTGTTTTGTCCCAGGCCCCCGACAAGTTCTCATTCAGTGGTTGTAAATTCCGAGTGCGCAAGTGCAAGGAGTCCACTGCGCGCGTGGTTATGTGGCGACAAATGGGCATTACTAACAGCTTTACTATGGAGGCTACCTTCTGCGGAGCAAACTTTGGCGACATGTGAGTACCTGATTATTGCCTCAGTCTTAGGAGCGTTTTTCGCGCGAATGATGACTTTAAAACAAGGCGGTGTGGATTAAGTACTTCGTCCTGGGTAATAAAATTGGGGTTGTTGTCCTAAATAGGTTATGTATTTTAGGGTTTTTGCTGTCCTAAATAGGGTCAGTCAGGGTTCCCTCAAGCCTGCTTTTCGTTAGCTAAGCTCAGGTAGACTGTGTCCTATGAAAGGTCTAGATTGCTTATGTCCTCTTAATCATACAATTTTTTTGTCTCTTAGTGAGAAAGGAAGACATTTCCACGTTGGTGACTTTGAGGAAATGGGTCGAGATTTTTGTGAAGTGTTGCTGGAGTATTCCGAGGCAAAAAACGGAAATCGGTAAATATTTGTCAAAATCGTCCAAAGTCTCTTTGGAAACTCACTACTGTTTTGTATCTCGGTTATAAAAAGGCGGGGCGGTGGGAAGGCTCAGATGTAATCAGTCACGGGGATCTGCGATTAAGGCCACATTATTAAACCCCTTAAGAAGCCCTGTGAGAAAAAAGACAGACCCCCAAATTATCCTGGGCCCCCAGAACTTGACCCAAGAAAAGTCGCGGGTCAGGTCAGCTATTGGCCAAGTTTTTCCAGTTAGTTATCCCAGAAGTCTTTGCGAAAGTAAACCTGGCCCAGTTTTTTTCTCGTTTCTAAAGTGACGAAGCAGTTATCTTGGGTAAGTTATAAATTCATTTCTTATTTCCATGTAGGAGTGAGATGACACAGGCGTTTGTGGAGCTCGCCTGTAAAATGACGCGTGATATCCTCAGACAAACCTTGGGGAACTTTAATCATGAAAATGTTTCCAAAGAAGACTTTTTAATGAGCAATAACGGAACCACACATACAAGAGAAGGGAAAACTCAAAGCGGTTCGTCAATAGGAGAGGAAGACACAGAAGACCAAGGGACTAATTCCACTATCAAGGCGTTTCCTCTTTCGACGAATAAAAAAGTGAATTTTATGGATGTGCGCGTTCAAGCTTCGGGGAGCAGTGAAGATGACGGCGTGGAACTCTCTGTGAAAAGCGTGCATGTCGATTCGTTCAATGACTGTATTAAAATACTGGAGAATTTAAACTTAGTAGACTGCTTCGACGAATCAGAGTAAGTGAATTTTTTATTTCCTCTACTCCCCAGCAATGTCGTATATGTTAGTATAGGTAATAGAATGATTTGTACGTGATATTTGGCATAAATACCACGAGTGATATTTCAAAATTGTTATACGTTAAATTTTTTGACAATTTTGAAGTATGACGAGTGTTATTTATGCCAAATATCACGAACAAATCATGCTATTATTTGTTTATACTACTACCCCCGAAAGGTTTGTAATTTTCACATGTAGTTATTTCAAATTAAGCTGAAATACCACTGCTCTAAGCCAATCAAATTGCAGAAATTTGTCATGGAAGGGTCTATTTGTCCCTTAATAGCCAACTGGTACAGTTACTGATGGCAGGTTCCCACTTGGAACTTTGGTCGTAGACGAATTAGGGTCTTTTTTATGGTTGAACTCTTTGCAGGCTGAGATTAAGAGCGGCTCTGTCTTAGTTCAAGTTGTCGCATTTTAGCGGACGCTGAGGTCAGTTAGGCCGTCGCCCCAATGTTTGTAGACTTCATTCTTCGTTTTCAGTTATAAAGACTGCTAGCAGGGAAGCTTCCAAAGGGAAGCGGCGGTAGATCCGCATAATTATGAACTCTGAAGGCGGTGGTGTGTTCCTCCCCTAAGAAAAAAGCGAGTGAACGACAAAGTGGTAGACAGAGTGAAAAGAGCAAAACTGCATCCTCAACACGCTTTTCCGGGGTTAATGAGTGCGCGATAAGGGTTTTCCTTCGCCTCTTTCTTTTAATTTCTTATTTCTAGTTCCCCAGGGACGTGGAAGAGAAAAAACCTTACCTGTCCACCGTCCCTTCTGCAATTAGCGCCAACTACCTAGGGAAGCGTTACCGGTCAGCGGTCGTTTATCCGTTAAATTTACTACTACTGTGTTATTTAGTTCTAGTGACTCAGACAGTGACCCGGATGACTGGGACGACAAGGAAGATGAGGCCAGCGGTAACCCGGTAAGGATTCTGATTGGTCAATCTGAGTGAGTGGCCATTGTGGTCCGAAGCTATGCTTCTTATGCTAAAATAGTGGCAGATTTAGTCATTCGTAAATGTCTTCATGATAATGAGCCCTCCACGTCCGTTTCAAAGTAAACGTTTTTGGTTTCTGCAGATGCATTCGAGGCAAATAGTGCTAATTAGCATACAGCTATTTCGAGAAAGGTTGTTGGAAAAAATGTGCACGCGACAATCCCGAAAGGTAATGTGAGATATGATCAATACGCTGTTCCTAACGACTGTAGCTGTCGAACCTACTTTAGTTGCTTTTCTTTAGCACTCGCGAACATAAGTCCATGGCCTCTCGTGCCATTCTTTCAAATTTCTTTGAAGAATAGTGAACTCAAAGCCACCTACAATACCTTTCGGGATTGTCGCGTGCACTTTTCCCGACAACCTTTCTCGAAATAGCTGTATACAAATACATAGAAAAGTCAAATTCCTAATTCCAGAGACTATAAGCAAAAAATGGGGAAAGGGGATTGTTTGGTTGGACAAGCGTAAATTATAAATGGTTAATAACTCGAAGATATTAGCACTTGAGTGCTACACTGTAAATTCGAGGGTAAATAAAGTTTATTGATTGATTTGATTGATTGAATAGTTGCCTTGAATACCATCAACCAGTCATAACTAACGCTAGTCCACCTAAACGACCTCAAAACTTACTGCACCCAAAGCTTATACCCATCTTCGTAGAGTTTCTGAAGTATCGACTATGGTCACAACAAAAACGACTTGGAAGAGTTAGCTCCCAAAGAAACTATGGTTCTGCGTCCTTGGCGGAGTGAAACTCAAAAATTTGGTTTTATGAACCGATTCGATAAAGTAAATTACCACCGTAAATAGTTAAAGGAATTTTTCTATGATGTTAAAACTTAATTATCGATTTTTTGAAAACCTAAAGTTTCGCGTTTGAAATAACGGTAAAATGTATAGACTACGAGCAATCTCTCTTTTTTCTTAGTCCGTCGCTTGAAACGCGCGAGGGAGGAAAATGACCACGCGCATGACCGAAGGCGTTCAAACATTATTCGGAAGTTTTGTTTCTGTTTTTGATAATCTTCATTCTTCTTTTTCAAGGGGGAAAGAAAGAGAAAGAAAAAGAAGAGGAAGAAAGCTAAGCACTGGTGGGACACCTTGTCGGTAAGTTAAAGTTCACGAATGTATAATTCACGTATAGTGTTTTAGCCTGAGAAAAGAGCCGACACTACCACTGGTTTCCCCGCCAAATGACGTCTGAGAAACGAGCGCAGAAATTCCATACTGATGACGTGATACTACCCATATCTGGGTAGTGCTTCTTATTGGTCGCGTCGCGTTGGAAATTTGCTTCAACCAATATGAAGCATTACCCAGATCTGGGTAGTGACGTGTCATACACCGTATTCACAAATGGCGGACACGCGTGAAAAAACTGGTGCCTAGTCATGAAAGCGAGGCGTTGGAGGATAAACAAAAATTGCAAATGAAGACTTTCAGTGAACTTGCAGAGTGTTTAGCACGGATTCCACCTAAAATAACTTTCTACGGACTTCTTTATAAATACAATTACGTGGGATGTCTTCTGCTTTTAATGTTTAGTAGCGATTTGCTGTTTGCAATCAAAAGGGACGCGTAAATCTTCGAGGAAACAGAATGATTTTGTAGGTTTTGTAGAAGTCCGTAAAAAGTTATTTTAGGTGGAATCCGTGCTAAACACTCTGCAAGTTCACTGAAAGTCTTCATTTGCAATTTTTGTTTATCCTCCAACGCCTCGCTTTCATGACTAGGCACCAGTTTTTTCCCGCGTGTCCGCCATTTGTGAATACGGTGTATGACACGTCACTACCCAGATCTGGGTAATGCTTCATATTGGTTGAAGCAAATTTCCAACGCGACGCGACCAATAAGAAGCACTACCCAGATATGGGTAGTATCAGGTCATCAGTATGGAATTTCTGCGCTCGTTTCTCAGACGTCATTTGGCGGGAAAACCAGTGGTAGCGTTGGCAAATGTCGGCTGTTTTCTCAGGCTAACAGTAGTGTTTTAGTTTTCTAACGTTACGTTAACCCTTCTTTTCTTTCTGGAAAAATCAATCAAAACAAACAAAACAAGACAAACAACAACCACAAAAACAAAACAATCGTTTTTTTTTCAGGTTGGGGATTGAAGGGTGGTTTGTCGTGGATTTAAACCGTTTACTTTTTAAAGTAATTCCTGTACTGACTATAACGTTGTTAACTTTGTTTCTTTAGAAACCATCTGCTTCTTCGGAAGCTAGCAACAGTACTACTACAGACGAAGATTGTGGCAATAATGAGGTACCATGTGTTATATTTAGAGACAAATACTCAAAGTCCGAGCTATTATGATTGAATCTCAACCACGGGTGCATCGCACGGGAACCTTGCAGCTTTCGGAAGACCTTGGGAAAACAATGAACAGACAAAGTTGACAATGGAACCCAGCCCGGAAACAAAAGAGCTGCGACGTATATAATAGACGTCCAATTAAAACAGCTGCAAGGCTACCGCAACAACCTACAGGGTTCCCACGTAATTACAGGTCGTTGAAATTTATAAACGTGGTGCTTGCTGAGCCCTTGAAAAGTCCTTGAATTTTATCTGGCAAGAAGTGTACGAACTCTGAATCTTAAAAAGTGACGTTTCTCTCGTGAAAAAATATAGAGTACTTGAGTGATGACGTCATAAAAATGAAATTTCTGAAATTCTGGGATTTGTCAGGGTATTCTGAAAGAACAATGTCCAACAGGCCTACTTACCACAAATGAGCATTTGGGGGCAAATTGTCTCTGAGATGTTAGCCGGTTATACTCAGAAAACTCAATACAAACCCTTCTAATTTCTTTTTGGGTCGGCGTTCGCGGTTTGCCGTGAAGTGAGTCGGATCGAATCATTGCATTAGCTTCACGTTAACTAGTATAGCGAGGATAAGATATCACAGAATAAAAGAAAAAAAAACAAAGGGGAAGCAGCAAAATTAAGGCGGGCTTGAGAAAAAAACTTAACGTGTAAACTTTAAAACGAATATGTTGTTCCAACATTTTGAAGTTCTTCTCATTTTTTCCCACTGATTAAGTTTGACAGTTTATAGCTGGGACTTGCGCCCATTAAACTTACCAAATGAGGGTTAGCTTATATATTACTGGTGATTAGTTGAATTTTCAACAAACTTTTGCCAATGACATGTGATTGTCGATCTCAAAACGTACGTTTTCAAAACTTTCTTATAACTTAAATGCAGTTTATGTAATTCTTTCAAACCTTCAAAGAAGAGCCTAAATCAAATACAAAGTTTATAACCTATGGATCGACCTAAACGATATGACTTTGTCGTTAAACGTTGCTCTCGGTTTTCGAATCCAAGCGAAAAACCAAAGGAGATGTAAAAGAATGAAAAGCGACAATCAGACCTGTTGTACTAGGCCACAAAACGTCATCTACCGTCTGAATCAATTTTTTCGACCACTGAAGCTTTAATAACATTTCAATTCTTCTCCCATCTAATTTATTTTATCTTTCCTTGTAACAGAGGGCTAAGGAACGCTGTGGACTTATCCACACAGTAAAGTATCCTTTCTTGTTAGTTAAAACCTGTTAACTGAACACAGAAACCCAATATAGCTTAAATTTATTTTAAAGCTAACTGAATCGAGGCGAAACTTAAACCAGTTAACTTTAAGAATAGTGCTTAGCCGCAAATAACAGCTATCCTGTTAACCACAGAGTTAAGCAGAAAATAATTATTTTAAAATATAATCTTTCAAACGAATTTCTTGAAATTCATATGCACGTTACATAAAAGTGTGGGGATATGATGGATATTAAATGAACATCGATCAATTAAGCTAGTGACACTGGCGAAAATATGATGCGTGTTGTGGAAGAATTCCTTGTGAATTCTGCTTAAATATGAAAACACAAAATTTGTTTTTATTCTGCGAAGGAATGACTTCCAAAGTTAAAATTGAATTCCGTAGCTTGGAGGCGTATTAAAATACCTTTCCTATATACCTTGTTAAATATTGACATCGTTGCCTGTGTCTTTCAAACAGAAAAAAGTGAAGACTAACTTTGGCAAGTTTGTCAACCCATACCAGCATCGATCAAATGGCGGTATACCAATCTTCTCTCAAGAACGAATTCTGGAAAGAGCGAAAAAGGTAATTATTATTTGATGTACTGACCTTGTCTAAACCGGGATGTGGTAAGGAGGTACTCAGACGGGTGCTGCATGACTCACTGAACGATTATAACTTTAAAAGACTTGGCCAAAAATCCCCAAACGTCTTAAATTTCCTGCAATCGCTCAGGATTTTGGTGACAATTTTCAAGAGATTTAAAATCTTTCTATTTCAGCTGATCTTTACGGACTTCTGGCGCTTCTGAAGAATCTCTAAACTGGAAAACATGTTCTCAAAAACACTTTCTCTAGACATATCAAGACGGTATAACTTGCTTGTGTCTGAAAATATTTCGAAATTTTGATACGTGAAAGGCCAAGACAACCTCCAGAACACAACAGCTGACATTAATTGCTACAGAAGTAAAACTATTTACTCAAACTCTTGGCCTCATTTCCACTTAATAACCGTCAACCGTCAAAAGTTCTGAAATTTAACCGTCAACCGTCAAAATTGGGAAAAATAACCGTCAACCGTCAAAGCTACCACCCCATAAGAAACCCTCTTCAGAGACATCGCGCGAGGCCGGCGCGCGCAAACTCATTGGACAGGCGAAGCGCGAACTGAACCATCAAGGTATAGCTGTCTTGCCGTTTGTTACAAGTTTTCAAGAGAAGCCTCGGAAAAAGGCAACTCATAACATGGCACCTAACCATGGCAACAATCTTAAATTACTATTGGAACGACAAGCAGCTTTTAGTTTTATATTGGTGTTGTTTCGTTAAGTTAAGTTCACTGCACCATCCTTTTTTTATGATATTGCATGGTTATTTGTGAAACCATTTTCAAGAGATTTTGCGGCACTGTTCTTTGAACGTGATGAGAATCCAAGATGGCAGCTACTGTGTGGAAATCCTGAAATATTACTGGCCTGACTTTGGGCATCATGGAACGAACATTGCTCAACATTGGGGGATGGTGTTGGATCCACCTTTTAACCAGGCCCCAATTGTTCAAATGGTGGATAACGCTTTCCAAAGGGTAAATCTCTTTTCACTGGATACTGGCTCACTTAGTTTCCCCAATACTTATCCACTGGACAGTGATTTATCCGGTGGATAGCACTGTCCACCGTTTGAACAACTGGGGCCAGACCTTTAGAAGTTCAGCAATGTGAATCTTAGTTCTTTGTTCTTGGTAACACACTCACTCCATGAGCCCCTTTTATTTTTCGAATACACCTTCCCTAAATTAATTTGCGTTTCTTTAGAAAGAGGAACAGTTGCATAATGAATCACAAGAAACAGAAAGAAAAGACTTCCTTGTGAAGGTAACACAAACTTAAGCTGATAATGCGTACAGTTTGATTCAACCTCTTTGCTGTCGGGGATTTCATAACTTGTTGGCTAGATTGATTGGGTAGTGGGTAAATAGAGGAGGGTCTTGGGTGGAGTGAGTGGGTCTTAAGTAAATTGAGGGGGTCATGGGTAGATTGAGTTGGCTGTGGCTAGCCCTCGGTGGGTAGTGAGCAGATTGTGATGACGTAGGAGGATAGAAGTGGGTCGTACGTAGTCTGGATGGGTCGTTGGTAAACTACCGTGGGTCGTGGCTAGATTGTAGTGATCCCCGGCTAGATTGAGAGGCTGTGGGTAGATTAACTGGGTCTTGGGTAAATTGCCGTGGGTCCTGTGTAGGTTAAGTGTGTCCTCGGTTGATTGAGCAGGACGTGGCAGAATGGCGTTAGTTGCAGAAAAACAGGCGCAGGCGCAGGGTTGCCGCTCATCAGAAAGATAAAAATTCCCTGACTTTTCCCTTACTTTTTACTGACCTATAAATAGTTTTCACTGACCTATTATTAACGAGAAACAATCCATGTTTACATTCATTTTAGCTTCTTTTGCAGCCCATCGATATTTTTCTCTTCATTTACAACCTCGTTCCGATTTTTGCGGAAAGAGTAAGAACGAATTTGGAAGAAAGCATTCACAACGAAAACCACTGACCACAACTACTACAAGTGTCAGGCGTAGGGTGTCAACTTGGTCGCTTTGCTTGCTTTGCAGCACACTTTCTGCTTTTCTGAGAGAAAATGCATTTCAAAATCTTGAAGAAAACTTATGAACTATAAACCGAAAAACCAATTTCCCTGACTTTTCACTGACTTTTACAATATCAAAGATTTTCCCTGACTTTTTAAAAAATTCCCAGACTTTTCGCTGACCTTGAAAAATGTTCTTATTTCCCTGACTTGTCTCTGAGCGTGGCAACCCTGAATTAGTTGCCGTGGCTTGATGTTAGGTTGTAATGGGTTAAAAATTGTAGCAATATAGACTACTGTAAAACTGTACGATAACCAAAGCGGCAAAAATATACTAAAGGATTTACAAACAGTTTTCTTGCGCACGGAGCAAATGAGTTGACGCCTAACTTTCTTGCATTGCAGTACGCCCATGAAGAGCCCAAAAATTCAGGCCCAGTCCTTGCTGTAACAGACGACACTGAGCTTAATTTCGTCACGGCTCAAAGACGTTTAGAGTATTACATGTTTGCTAACAACAGTACCAATCCGAACTGGGGGAATATGTCTACAAACCCGGGCCTGCGGAATAAGCCCCCTCTTCCCCATTCAAGACACGTTGTAGAGATGGATTCTGTTAAGTTTGATTATCTCACCGGGGATGGATACGGATTTACCGTCAGGATTCCCGGGAGGAAACCACATCGAGCCCGGACGCGCGACGGGCACGAACGCGGACCCACACACTCACTTCAAACTTTTGAGGAAGCAAGAAGCAGGTTGCGAAGAAAACAGATTTCTCCGGCGTATACCTTTGACCTATCCGACGAGAGAATGGTCTTTCCGGGTAGAACTTCTAGTCTTTATACCACTCATCACAATAGTTACTATGGGGACGATTTCGAAGTAGAAGCGGATGTTTTTTCACGTGTCAGTGCCAGTAAGAGACTTGAGCATTCAGACTTTCGAAGGGGAATGACTGGCTCGTCTGAGGGTGATATTCTCGGCCAGAGAAGAAGAAACTTTGCGCGTTCTCGGAGTGAACATGGAATGAGAGTCAGAAGTAAAGAGTTAGATGAGGTGACGTCACAAAGTGCTGGACATAGATCTAGGCACGATCGCCCACTGTTTGAACCCAAGGCCCCAGTCCCTTCATACTCACACGTCTCTACTCCCCTGGTCAACAAGAAGTAAAGATAACGAACAAAAAGCACCACCGTTTCGTAACTTTCGTCTGGGAAAAGCATCGTACGTGATCATCGATTGATCATGTTCGACGTAAAAAATACGACAAGAACTCGTCCACTGCGTCGTGTGAACTATGAAAACTGTGTACTCAATACGTTGATGCTTTCCATAGTTTTCCACTAGTAGCCCGCTGGTTATGACTTCACTACACACACCGGAAGTTGAAATAATCTGGGCTCCAGGCTCTCCCTTCCACATTCTGTCGCTAATGACCGGTCACTGTCGATCACCAGTAAACGCTGATCAAAACTTGAATAGTGGTATTAGTATGTGTAATCAAATGGTGACGAGTGAAATTAGGGAATAATTTCACGCGCGTTTTGTCCAAATTCTTATTATTTCCCGAGCCTTTAGGCGAGGGAAATTATTAGGATTTGGACAAAACGCAAGTGAAATTATTCCCTAATTTCACGAGTATACCATTTGAGTACCTATTAACAGCATGGGTGACGAATTACGTTGGCAATCTTGGATTTTTGACATGTTTATCCTGGATCGTATCGATCGAGAACTCCACTCTCTCAAATGTTTAGACCTTAAATTTGGCTTATTAAGTTCAGCATTTTTCAGACTTTTTCGGCAAAGTACCTGTTAGAGTCCTTTCTGATGTTCTCTTGTGTGTTCAGGTTTTCTAAAGCGTCTTTTTGTGCCCTGACATCTTCATTCACGGCATTTAAAACTTCGTCGCCATCTTGACACTGAGACGTACGGAAGGTTGCCATAGCAATTTTGTAATTTCACATGTGAAATTACAAATTAACGATGACATTTCGCGCCAAAATTAAGGAGTAATTCGTCACCTAGGATATTACAAACAATTCTGAATCTGAGCTGAAATCTGAAACAGCAGCCAAGAAGTGAAGCTTAAGATTCATTTAAGTGACGACTAGATAGTGCATTTATCCAATTATATTCATGGTAAAAGACTATATTTTTAATAATGCTCGTTAAAATGTATATTGTACAGGCTTTATTACACTCTTCCTAAAATTCAATATATTTATTCTCAAGATAGGCGGAGATTTTATATAAATTATTTACACGAGATCTGTATAAGAGTTAAAAATCAGAGTTCGAAACGTGTTTGACTACAAAAAAATTTACATAGAAGAAAGGAGGGTGCTTTGGACAGTCAATGGGCCAGATTTAGCCAGGACAAGGCGACTTCAAATGAGAAAACGAAAGCGCGAAAAGGGCTGAACGCCACTTCCGGTGTTCGGCCATTAGTTAAGGAGATTGTTAGATCCGCGCGCGCCGTCTTCACTGGCGTCGCCTTGTCTTTGCTAAAGCTGCCTATTAGATAGCCAAGAAGAGAGTACGTAATAAAAAAAGTGAAAGTGTAAAAATGGTATCATTTTTGTTTCTCGAAATGTCTGCTTTTGCGCTATTTCAGCTCGGGTTCTACAAAACGTGCAAATCGGCCGTGCACGTGAACACTGGGCAAAATTCACCAATCAGCATATGACATCTGGCTGGGTCACGTGAGTATGCGCGCCGTTTCCAATCCCGTCTCGTCCTCCAATAATTTGTTCACTCGATACCTCTGCAAGTAAGTGGTAGAGATTGATGTGAGGGTATTACCGGAAAACTAACGGACGTTTTGGCTCTAAAACTAACTGGTGAATCTATTTTCAAGAATTTCAACTGGGAGAAAGTGCGGTTATTTGTTGGAAAATCATTAAGTGGTAGACTCTCACGTTTTGAAGTCAAAATCAACTTTTGGAATATGAAATCCAAGTTCCAATTACAAAGAATACGGAATCGAGTACCAGTGCAGATGCTGTATGAAGCAATTGTGATATCCTTTTGCTTGCGACGCTGACCTGCGTTTTGACACGAAAGTCAAATGCCCGACTGGGTGGGCCTCATTTTGGGTCAAATTCCACACCGTATGGAGCAAACCTCAAGTATGCCTCGAAGGGGAGGGGGGATGGAAGGATTTGGTACATAATTACCTCATTTTTAACCAGCAGATCCCTTATATAGATCTTGTCAGGGCTGGGTGGGACCAAACTCTGCAGTCGAACTGCTTTGAGGGCTGTCGGCTGGCAAGAAATCAAGTGGGTAACTTCTGAACTCTGAAAAATAAATTAA